TTTCCTTTTTTTTTTTTTCTTTTCCCAAAAAAATTGGACCATTTCTCGATTTATGCGTGTCATCCTTGCGCAGGGGCCATGCTAATCTTCTCTGTATCGTTCCAATTTTAACGGATGTCCCGAAGGACTTCTTTTCCTTTTTCTTCTAGGAGATCTCACAAACCAAGAAAACAATTGTCAGCGAGGAAAAGGGATTCTGCGGTCATGCCCTTTTTTTTCCGCATTTTCTTCAAAAAAATGGCAAAAATTCGTTCACAAAAGTTTATTTTTTTTCTCTTTTTTCTTCGAAAGTCCAGGGTGCTGTAGAGGCCAGTTACTAGGCACACATTGATCGCCGGAACTCGCCTACTCAGAGCGACCATTCACAAAAGTCTTGCACAATTTGTGGATGGCGCCGCGTGACCAGCCAAGTACCAAATCCCCTCTTCTCCAGACGGCCGCGACCTTGTCCCATCTGAAAAGGTACAGCAGTGTGACGTGAACCATGCCCAGAACCTCAAATCGGCCCTTCTCAAATCAGCATAATCCGCATATTTTGCGCCTTTGGAGTCGCAGTGTGAGTATGCCCTCAAGCGTTGAGATCGAGAAAATTGGAACCATGGCCCCCTGCGCAAGGATGACAATAATAAATCGAGAAAAGCTTCAAGTTAAATTAAATGAAAAAAAAAAAAAGATCGGCGGTGCGGAACAACCACGTGTCGTTACGAGAGGAGTAGAGAAACCTTCTCCTCCCCAGAAAGGTTTTACCAACGAGCCCAGCTCAGGGCTATTTGACAAGGTACCACTGTCGACGTGTTTTCTTCTTTTGCTAATGTCATGAAGTACAGCAATCTAGCCCTGTGCTTGTGTCTACGTGTGGGCGATGCTGATTTGACATGTGTTGCCAATCCAGGACTCCGACAGTGCTAGAGGTACTCTTGAAAATTTTCATGTGTCTAGGGTAGTGAAGTGAGGCCCAATCTCGGCTCAGCAGACATTCAATCAGGGCATACTCACATCGGGACCAAAATTCTCAAAATCTCGAGGCATTTGGGCCCCGTGTGGTCAAATGGGCGACTTCGTCACTCCCTGACAATTTGCACACTTGCCGTCCTGACACTTCGCACTCAGAGCACGTGCGTCAGGTCACAAAAAGATCGAATTTGTTTTTTCCTTTTTTTGACACCACTATAACGCGTGGGCTACAACGAAAATGTTTCTCCTTAAAAAAAAAAAAAAAAAAAAGTTTCTCCTCCTCTTTTTACGTAAATGTTTCTCCTCGTCTTTTTTTTTTTCCCCCCCCCGAAATTGCACTTTTATTAACAGGGCCCAGTGCCCAAGCCAATTACATCATCAGCCGAGAACGAAAATGCTGCCGTAGCGCTCAAATCCGGCGATGTGAGCGCGTTATCATATAGGGTTTTTTGCTTGCCATTGCGGAGTTCGATCGTCATGCCCCGGGGCGCTTAGCACGGGGAAGGCGAGTTACACAGCTGTCGGGCTTGACTGTGAGTCCGAGCACGGGTGACAWGAACTTGTCCCAGGGATGTGGCGTGGAGAGGTGGTGCGGTTAGGGTCAGCGGAGTTTCTCTTCCAAGATACTATCCTGAACTTTTCGAACCGAAGATTGCTGTAGTGACAGCGAGCTTCCTATGGAACCTGTTTCCCTCCTATCGTGAAGGAAGTGTACGGTCTCTCTCAGAGGGGCGATATGCCGGAGCGACCTAGCCAGGTCTGTTCCTGGTTGGTATGATATGGGGTTGCCCACTGGTTGGTGGCGGCAGCAGCACTTGAGGAGCTTGCGGCTGGCATAGTCTGTAGTCGGGGCACAGCTGTTCGAGCTGGCGGACGTCGGGATGTCTGGAGTTCAAGGCTTTGTGCTGTTTGCGCTGGCGGACGTCTGGATGTCTGGAGTTCAAGCTACTTCAGCGAGACGCCTGGAGTTCAAGCTGGTTCAGCGAGCGGACAACGGGTGTTACATACTCCAATGAGTATGGGCAGAACCAAGGATCAACCAATGTAGGATGAGCATATATGCAACGGAAGTCTGATGAACGGACTGACTCACATAGACTGACTCACATAGCATCACTCCACACACATGCAATCGTAAGGTGGTGGGGTCCGAGCCATACATAGAAGATGCTCAGCCCCGTACACACATACACAGATGAATGGGGGAGGAGAGACGAAGAGGTGGGGGGGAGGTAGACAGCACCGAAAGTCACCGAGATAGAATCTGATAGGTCACCGATATGGTAGTCCAAAATGTCATCCAACAAGATCAAAATGTCGAGGACCATAGGTCACCAATGTCGGAGATACAGAGTCCAAATGTAACCGGTGTCTGAACCGTGATGTCGCCAAGTATCAACCCCAACGATCTCCAAGTCTCCAATCCGGTGAGTACCACAGTCTCATACCACCGAAGTCCAACACTGATCTCTGTCCAACTAGTATAGGTCTCTGGTCTGAAGAAGAAGAAGAAGAAGAAGAAGAACAAGAAGAAGAAGAAGAAGTCTGAAGAGAGGAAGAAGAAGAAGAAGAAGAAGAAGAAGTAGGAGTCGAGGAGGACAGAGACAGAGGGGACTGGCGAGGGGAGGGAGGAGAGAGGCCTCCGACTCCCGATACCTCAGGCGGCTATGGCCGCCGGTGCACTCAATCGCCGCTGCTGCTGCTCGCTCGCTACTGCTGCGCTAATGCTGCGCTGCGCTGCTCCTCGCTGCTCCTCGCTGCTCCTGCGCTAAAGATAGCGCCAGCGCTGATTAGCGCTGTACCATACCGTACTGGTAGAATGCCGGTAGGTCGATGCTGGACTGACGCTGGACCGGTTCTATATACCGGTGGGGCAGAGGCCGGCCTGAATGCTGCGAGGTGAGGCCTTTATGGCGTGTAGTACTCCCAAGGTCGGGCCTTTAGGCCCTGATGTGTCCCTCTAGCCCTAAGTCGGGTCCGGTAGGACCAGTGTGGCGTCGAAGATGTAACACACTCCCCCTCTTAAAACACCGAGCTACCTGCGAGGGCGAAGTTGTCTGTCCCATACCGGGGTGGGTCGGGCGGGATGAGCTGCGACCTTAGCAAGGCGTCACTTCTCATAGTCGGCGAAGATAAGGGGTGCAGAAGTCTGCAACTCTGTACTAGAGATCCACCGAGTGTCATCAGGCGCACATTGCTTGAATGTGACTTTGTACTGCCTTCGCTTGTTGCCATACTTGCGGTGCGTGATGACTCGGTCCACTTCCTGATGTCCATCCATGGAGGACGGATCCTGTGATCGACGTCCGGGAAACTCGTCATTTGAAGGTGGCGTGTAGATGGCCAGCTTCGATGCGTGGAAGACCCGATGCACTGTCAGGTGCGGTGGAATGTTGATCACGAAGGAAGGACCTGCGGGATCGTCTCCAACGGCAGAAGCGACTTCCCATGGTCCGAACCATTTCGGAAGGAGTTTGCGCGAAATTTCCTGCTCGAGCGCAAATTCCTCGGAGAGGACCTAAACAAGGTCTCCCTCGCGGAAAGGACATGGAAGTCGACGTCGGTTAGCTTGTTGCTGCATGCGGATCTAAGCCTTTTGCATATTTGTGCGGACTTTGATCAGCAAGTCCCGGTACTTCCGGACGGAAGCGGGAGAGCAAGGGACGTCTGTGTCGGCAGCCTGTGGCAAAAGGAGATCAGCGAAGATCCGTGCTTTCTCTCCACCATGATGTAGCTCGAATGGTGTGACGCAGATTGCCGGGTGCACCGAAGTGTTATAGGTGAACTCGATGTCGAGAAGCCGGTCAACCCAATCTTTTTGGTCGGGACGGATGAGCGTACGCAACATCATCTGAGCGGTCTGGTGCGCTCGTTCCGTCTGACCATCCTTCTGCGGGTGCCGAGCCGAGCTCGGTTTCATTGTCATACCGGACTCAACCATGAGGGAAGTCCAAAAGGCTGACATGAAACGAGTATCTCGGTCGCTCACTATGTCTTCCGGAACACCTTCGTTGGTAATCCAACCGGTGTGCAAGAGTCGTGCGAGCTCAGGCGCTGCAGCATGATACTTGCAAGGAAGGAAGCGAGCATACTTGCTCAAACGGTCAACGACCGTGAGAATACCGTCATGGCCGTGGCGATCGCGGGGAAACGGGCCTGTCAC